GGCGATTCTCTCTTGTGAGGGCTGTCCCGTGCACTGTAGGATGTTCAGCAGCAGCGTTGGCTTCTACCCACCACATGCCAGTAGCACATCCTCAGTTGTGACAACCAAAAATGTCTTCAGATATTGCCAAATCTCTTCTGGGGTGCAACATCCCCCTCAGATGAGCACCCCTGGTCTGTGGAGACAGGGTTTGGACCAGGAGTCTATTGGGAAGGGAAGGTTTATAACATGAATGAAAGAAAAAGATTTTTAAATCTATGAGAATATACTGTATATGTGATACCAGTAAAAATGTTTCCTTCCTTGACATCCATTACAAACATTTACCTTCAGCTGCTACAAGTGTCTACTCAGGTGACAGGGAAGAGAGGTGTGGCTGCTGGCTGCCCAGGCTGCAGCGTTGCCATGAACAGCTTGCACTGCTACTTTAAGAAACAGTAACCGTAGGCCTGGTGCAGTGGCTCACGCCTGTAATCCTAGCACTTTGGGAGGCTGAGACGGGTGGATCAGGAGGTCAGGAGACCGAGACCATCCTGGTCGATATGGTGAAACCCCGTCTCTACTAAAAATACAAAAAAAAAATAGCCAGGCGTAGTGGCGGGAGCCTGTAGTCCCAGCTACTCGGGAGACTGAGGCAGGAGAATGGCATGAACCCGGGAGGCGGAGCTTGCAGTGAGCCGAGTGCCACTGCACTCCAGCCTGGGCGACAGAGCGAGACTCCATCTCAAAAAAAAAAAAAAAAAAAAAAAAGAAACAGTAACCGTAGATGATACAGCTGCAGTTCAATTTTGAATCAGCAAGTCCAGTACAGACTGACCTGTTTACAGGGCAGATCGTTTAAAAATCTCGGGTTATTTGCTCTTCTGAAATTGATTCTGTGGATATGGCCCAATTTTGCTTGTTAAACAAGTATGAAGTTCAGGCATGAGGTTTAGGCACATTGGTGTTTTTCGGTGACTGTTGGAATCACATTTGACTCACAATAGGACGCCTTGCCTTCTGCTGGCCAGCCAAGTACTTACTCCCATTAGTACTTTCGACAATACTGTTTTATTACTTTGAAGCCTGAATATTCAGAAAGGTGCCCAGCAGCTGGAAAGAATCTTTAAGATCACAGAATCACCCTCCCCCATGAAGAAATTAGGAAACTGAGTTTCTTTGGAGCCTAATATATCTCCTTTCTTTTTTTTTTTTTGAGATGGAGTTTTGCTCTTGTTGCCAAGGCTGGAGTTCAGTGGCACAATCTTGGCTCACTGCAACCTCCACCTCCCAGGTTCAAATGATTCTCCTGCCTCAGACTCCTGAGTAGCTGGGATTACAGGCGTGCACCACCACGTCCAGCTATTTTTTGTATTTTTGGTAGAGATGGCGTTTCATCGTGTTGGCCAAGCTGATCTCAAATTCCTGACCTCAAGTGATCCAACTGCCTCAACCTCCCAGAGTGTGGGGATTACAGGCATGAACCACTGCGCCCAGCCCATATCTCCTTTCAAATCCCAGTACATCAGTATCATCAGGTGTTAGTCTGTTAAAATAGAGCTTTTGTTGAGTATAATCCTTTTGGTTTTTGTGAAGATCTTCCCTACCCTGCTCCATTGGAAAGACTATTTTAATATTGTTTCTTCTCAGAATATTACCTGGATACAATCTTGTATTAAAAATGGTGTTCAGGCCTAGAGGTGATGGGTCACTCCTGTAATCCCAGTACTTTGGGAGGCTAAAGCAGTGGGATCACTTAAGGCCAAGAGTTTGAGACCAGCCTGGGCAACATAGTGAGACCCTCCCTCTACAAAAAAAATACAAAAATTAGCTGACCACAGGTGACATGCACCTGTAGTCCCAGCTACTTGAGAGGCTGAGGCAGAAGGATCGCTTGAGCCCAGGAGGTCAAGAATGCAGTGAACTATGATTGTGCCACTGCACTCCAGCTTGGGCAACAGAGTGAGACCTTGTCCCATAAACAAAAAAAAAAAAAAAAAAAAAGGGGATTCAGCAAAAATGATGGCCTTGATGAAAACATACCAAAAGAGTCAACTGTAAAACTCCATTTAAAAAGGCAAGTGTATATATGGCTTGAATGGGCAGCTCAGCAGTGATGGGTGAAGAGCAGGAAATCACAGATGGGGCACCTGTCTTCAAATCACATGTTAGTGGCCACAGACAAGTTCCCAAACCTCTCTAAGCACCAGCCTGCTCACCTGTAATGGTGATGAATAATATCGACAGCTTCATAAATAGGATTGCAGGGATTCAGTGCTTCAACGGAGGTCAGAGGCTCAGCACACTAGCAAAAATTCGGCACTTACATGTTAGTCATTGACACTGTTGTGTTACACTAATAAGCACTTCCTAGTTGTTATTTTATTCTAGAGTCCTTTTAGGGCCTCTGGAAACATGATTTCTTCAAAAAACCTGGATAATGAAACTGAGGGGACCTATGTAACTTGCTACAATTATCTCCTGCACTGGAATACGAGTAAAAGACCAGACTGTGGAGACAGAGGCATTTAAAAAGAACCATATATAGTAAATTTTCATCTGTGATTTTTATTTTTTTGTCTAGGTTAAATGGTATTATCCTCACATTTTATTTGGTTAAAATTGACATCATACTATATGAAGCAACATTCAAATTATACTCATTTTAAACCGTTTCAAATTGAAGTGAACTTTAAAAATTAGTTAAAAAAATTTTTTTTTGAATATACAGTTTTTTGAATGAAAAAAAAAATACAAAGTATATTTCCTCCCTTTGGGCGCTAGAATCCCACCCCCCAACACACACAGAGGGAAGAAGCCTTGTGTATACTCTCCTGTGTGCTTTGGGGGATCCAGGAATGTGTTTACTGAGCATATGTAGCAGAGCAGTCAGTTAAAGGAAGAAAAGTTGTATTTTAATGTTAAAATGATAGATTTTTCATGCTAACAGTCTATTCAGAAAAAGTTAAGAGTTTAAAAATTTTTTCCCCTCATTTAAAAAATAAAGCTGAAAAAGACATAAAATCTATGTTAAATAGCCAACTTAATATCTATCCAAGTTGATACTTCAGTAACTACAGCCCAGTCAATCCATGTGGACTGATGTATTTCATCAGGGTCCCAGGCATGAACTGTCATTAGCAAGGTATTGATTGAGTACTTCATTCTTTGCCACACTCTTAGACATAGTTATTTTAGGCTTAAAGTCTGACAACAACAAAATGCAGTCATGGTGTTTAATGTGGATTTGCTTTTCTAAAACAATGTCCAACAAATTGAGTTGTAAATTCAGTGCTTTACGGTAGATTTCTTTATGGGACCACACCTGCACAGTGGAAGTCCCTTGTTTTCCCCTAAACTAGTCCGTGATTGTGCGTCCTTAGTGACCTTCTGATAAGGAAGCGGTATTCAGAATTGCATTTTTTGTTTTTGGTGGAAGTCCCTTGTTTTCCCCTAAACTAGTCCGTGATTGTGCGTCCTTAGTGACCTTCTGATAAGGAAGCGGTATTCAGAATTGCATTTTTTGTTTTTTCAGACAGAGCCTCACTCTGTCACCCAGGCTGGAGTGCAGTGGCCCAACCTCGGTGCACTGCGACCTCCACCTCCTGGGTTCAAGCGATTCTCGTGTCTCAGCCTCCCAAGTAGCTGGGACTGCAGGTGAGCATCACCACTCCCGGCTAATTTTTGTATTAATATTGTTAGTAGAGGTGGACTTTTACCATGTTGGCCTTGCTGGTCTCAACTCCTGTCCTCAAGTGATTTACCTGCCTCAGCCTCCGAAAGTACTTGGATTATAGTCATGAGCCACTGCGGCTGGCCATAAATGCATTTTTGATATTGAGGTTCGACTCTTAGGGAGCATTCACTGGTTCATAGTTCAAGGACTGTAGTCCTTGCTGTGCTTATCCCAACCCAGGCATGGGCCTTTGGCTTTGCCTCCACCTCTGAGCACATGTGAGTTTTGTCTCTAGTGTGCAGCGGTTTAGCAACTGTCCAGGAAGTACAACATACTGAGGGTCCTTGGGGACAGTGTCTCTGGGGTCAATGTCTGGTAAAGAGCATTGCTTTTATAGATTCCAGATCCCAGTGGGTCAGCTGTGATTTTGAGGTACTTTATCCTCTCAGCAAGCTTCTTACTTCTCACCAACAACCAGATGTGGGCTTTCATGCATTATTTGTGTGATGAAACATAATCTTAGGCTGATATAATTGTACCCCAACATTTTTTAGCCTGAACTGCTAATTCAATGTAGAGAGAAAGAAAAGGTGGCAAGAATTGAGAGTCTTGAACTCCTAAGGTTTGATGGGACCGGTCATTTTACCATCCCAGGCAACGGTGCTTGATAAAACCAGTTAAATTGCAGTGTTTCTGGTGACTAAACCTGTAGTATGTTGCCATCTAGTGGAACATACAGCAAACTAAAGATTAATGCAGTCTGACCGTAAAGTTCCCCTGAGCTAATTAAATCAGCCAGAGAAAAGAACTGAAAGTATTTTCTAAAGGCAAGTGTTTTGGTAACATGCAAATTCATATGAAACCAGAGTTGACTTTTCTTAAAGTAGGCAAATGGTCACTCTGTTTCTCAAGAGTGCTTGCATACCACCCAGTTACTAACAAGTTTTCAAACATATCACCAGGCCAGGACACTGCATTTTCATTGTCATCTGTACAATATACAGTTTCTCTTCTAAAGTCCTGGAGAAAATGCTTGGTTATCAGTAGGTTATTTTGGTATGTTTTAAAATGTGATTTTAAGATGTCCATTCCCTTTCTTATTAATACATACTTATCCTTTTTTTCTATTAAATTTCCAAGAATAAATCTGCTGATTTTTAGGAGAAGCAAACACATGACTTCACAAAGTAGGGATTTCACATTTTAAATTCTAACTAGCATCCCCAAAATGTCCAGTCCTGTGGTTTGAGACCTGATTTTTAGGAAGACCTGAAAGATTCTACTGTGGGCTGTTTTGTGAGCACTGACTGCTTGTTTTGTCTTTGTCCTGCTCCTGCTTGCCTAGATCCCTCCCTGGTGCCACAGCAGCTGAGTGCGCATCAAATCTGAAGAAAATCTACACAGTACAGACAGTACAGGTAAGAGCAAGAGAGGGACTAACTGGATTAACACGGCACACATCGGACACCTAATCACCCACCTTGAAATCTGTTGCTGTGCTGGCAGCCCCTGTCCAGGGTTCTGCTCTGGAGTTGACTCTCGGGTCCAGGTTGGCACAACTGCCCTTGACCAAGTCCACCCCAGGGCCAGCTGAGCACACAGGCAGGTGGCCTGCTCTTCTCTTGGCCACCTGCTGAACCTTTACTACCTAAACCTTTCATAGACCCACACAAAAGGCAGACTGCAGTGTGGTTAAGAGGAAAGGTTTTTAAGATCTTTATCTGTGTTCCTGTTCAAACTCCAGTTCTGCCACTGCCTTGCTGTGCCTCTGTTCCCCATCAGTGAGAGGCAGTGGCGCCTTCCCTGCAGGGCTATTAAAGGTTTAGAGGTCACATAGGGAGAGCAGGATAGTGTGGAGCATGAAGATGGAGAGTCTCTGCTTGGTTTCCTACTTCACTTCACAGTTCCATCATCCTAAATTAGGCATGGATCAACCCCTTTCATCTCTGTAAAATTGGTCTAATGGTAGCACCTACCTCCATGGGTTACTGTGAAGACTGAATAAGATTATGTTTATGCCATGCTTAGTGGAATACCTAATACGTAGCAGATTCTTAATGAGTGCAAGCTCTTAGTTCTATTAGTTCTTTCTCTATCTAACTCTGATGGTGGAGTTGGAAAAACACAACTGAAAAAACACAACTGGCCAGGCACAGTGGCTCACGCCTGAAATCCCAGGAGTTTGGGAGGCTGAGGTGGGAGGATTGCTTGAGCCTAGGAGTTCCAGAGAAGCCTGGGCAACATAGACCCCCATCTCTACAAATAATTTCCTTCAGAATTAACTGGGCGTGGTGGCACACACCTGTGGTCCCAGCTGCTTGGGAGGCTGAGGCACAGTGATCACTTGAGCCCAGGATTTCAACACTGCAGTGAGCTATATTCACACCACTGCACTCCAGCCTGGGCAACAGAGCAAGACCTTGTCTCAAAAAAGACAAAACCTGATTGATTTAATTGATCCCATTTCTATTTTCTTCAATAGCAGATTCTATCCAGTTTCTCCTATCTTCTAGTTTAATGGGTTGGTGCAGGTAGAATAAGGCTTTTGAGGCTGCTTCAGAGTTGCATTGACCGTATGTCCATGAATTTTCTAGAAGGGACAGATTTTAAATAGCTTTCCTGTTGTATCCCTAAATCTTTTAATGTCTTAGAAATTCCAATAGATCAGCATCTAAATTGTGTCTCTTAGGCAGCCTCTTACATGCAGAAGTAGCACAGAGATCCATTTTTTTTCAGGCTGTGGTCCCAGTATCTGGTTCAAACTGGTTCAAAAAAGTTGGCATGCATAATTACGAAGTCCCAGAAATCTGATTGTAAGGTGCTGTGTGTGGCTACCAAGGGCAGTGAGCCGGGTGTGAAGACACTGTCCTGACTGTGGGCCATTTCTGGTGTAGTTGGGGAAGTGACATAAACGTGTGGGAAGCAGAGCAGCAGTGCTGCTGTGCAGTGCCAAGTACAGACGGCACCGCAAGGCAGCGCGAGGACCACTGTCCAGAGACATCAACATGTTCAGAATCTGGGAGGCCTCCCTGCACGTCTCCTCTTCTGTGGATTTAGGGACTTCTGTGACCTTTTCCCAGCAGCTATTTTATAATCCTCAGAGCGCTTGATTTGAAGGCCTGTCCTCATGTAAAGGCTCTCAGAGTCTCATTAGACTTTTCCCAATCCACATGACATTAGATCATCAGGGCTATGTAAGAGATTCCAGGGCTGACACTAGTCAGATGAGGGGATTGGCTTGGTTTTCCTGACCCTGCGAGATAACCCAGAGTATTTGGTAGAGCCCTTGAATCCACAGCATTTTAGGGTCTTCAGGGAGCAATTTAAAGCACCCGGGCAGGCACATACTAGGAAATACTTTCTTTAAAACTACTTTATTGGGATATAATTTGTATACAGTAAATGTAGATTTCTTAAGTATAACTTTTGACAAGGGTACGTATGTACAACCATCATGCAGATCAAGACAAAAAAAAATCTTTCCCATACACCAGAAAGTCTCTTTGTGCCCTTTCCAGCCTCCATCCCCCAAAGCAACCACTGTTCTCATTTCTACCACATTACATTCATTCTGTTATTGAACTTTATGTGAATGGAATCATGCAGTACCATATTATTGTGTCTGGTCCTTTGCACTCAATGAATATTGAAGAATTGAATGAATGAATGAGGCTGAGCATGGTGGCTTACGCCTGTAATCCCCACACTTTGGGAGGCCGAGGCGGGCGGATCACTTGAGTTCAGGAGTTCAAGACCAGCCTGAGCAACATGGTGAAACCCTGTCTCTACTAAAAATACAAAAATTAGCCTGGAGTGGTGACACACGCCCGTAGTCCCAGCTACTGGGGAGGCCGAGACAGGAGAATCGCTTTAACCCGGGAGGTGGAGGTTGCAGTGAGCTGAGATTGTGCTGCCCTCCAGCCTGGGTGACAGAGTGAGACTCTGTCTCTTACATGTACACACTCTCAAAAAAAAAAAAAAAAGAATGAATTAGAAGTTAATAAATGAACCACTTTCCTGTAAGGATTCTGTAGGCTGCACATTCTCAGCGGGGGCCAAAGTTGATTCTTGCAGAGGAAGTACATCAGTGAACAAATCTCGCTCTTTTTATGTGCAAAGCATAGATGTCCGTGCAGTCCATAAACATATATGGTATCTCTGTGATATTAAAATTTTGTCATAGGTGATTAGGATAAAGGGCTCTTTTAGGGCCTAAGGGAGCAACAGTGAAAAAATGGCTGATAAACACTGCCTTAAGGATCAGGAAAGTCCTTTCTCTCTCAGCTGTCTGTGCTCCCTCGGTTTCTCATCTGTAAAACTGAGGTAATATTAGTGCCTACTCCCTAAGGTTGAGTGAAAGTTAGATAAGATAGGTATATAGTTCTTAGTGATGCTTGGCACTTAGCCCTCAGATGTGGCCGGCTTTTACTTAAGTGTTACTGGATTCTGTCCCTCAGCTCTATCAGTTATCTGGTCAGGGTAGTCACAGTGCCTTGGTTGATATCTCATATGTGACACTTTCTAGCTTGGACAAGTTATATAACCTGTCTGAATCTCATTTTACTCATCTGTAAGATGGGAATAATTGTGATGGTAATTTTATCATGCTGTCATGAGACTTAAATGACACAATGACGTAAAAAGCCATAGTTAAGTACCCAATCATCTGCCATAATTTGTCTACTTCTACTGAGATATCTTTTTATGCTTTCTTCAGTCATATTTTATATCAGAAAACTATACACCACTGCTTCTAGATTATTTATTTCAAGTGATTATACTCTGGATTGCACTACCACTAACAGGTGTATGTGAAGATACTTAACTTATCAATAACTTTTGAGATTTCAGCCTGCGAGTGTCCTTAATATCTAATCAATTGTCCTTAGTATTTAAGAGCTGGCCAGGATATTATCTTGCAAGTCATTTGAGGATATGCTTTTGTCCCACTGTTTTTTTAATTTATTCTAGGATTGTATATTAATTATTTTTTCTTCAGAAGCAGGGTCTCACTCTGTCACCCAGGCAGGAGTGCAGTGGTGCAATCATAGCTCACTGCAGCCTCAAACTCCTGCTCTCAAGAGATCCTCCCACCCCATCTTCCTCCCAAGTATCTAGGACTACAGCCATGTGCTACCACACCCAGCTAAATTATGTTATTTTTTTGTAGAGATGGGGTCTTGCTATGTTGCTCAGTCTAGTCTCGAATTTCTGACCTCAAGCTGTGTTCCTTCCTTGACCTCTCAAAGTGCTGAGATTATTCTCACTCCATTAGCACTAAAAAAACCGCTTCTCCAATTATGTCTATATTTTCCTCCCACATGTGTTTAGATGAAAGGTAAAAATCATGTGATATTAATGATTGCCTTATTAAAGACATATGTGTCTTTTTACACTTTGAGGCCCTTTAGCAAATCAAAGTAGATGGGTTTGGGAGAGGAATTGTCACCCCATCTATTAGCTGAGGAGCCTGAGGCTGGAGATAAGTGGCCCAAATATTCAGTGGAAAGAGCCAATCATGCCATGTCTCTAGGACTGGAACTCCCTCCACTTCCAGTTCAGTTCTCTTTCTTTTACTCCCCCTGATTGAGGAGTCGGGGAGGCTCAGCCTCCAAAGGACCTGGGAACCCCTGCTGAGGACACTTTGATCATACCCAACAATAATTCTCTCTGCCTGGAGTTAAATTCATTTCTACTTTCCTGCCTTTCTTGGAAAATTCCATTTTACATCTAGGCATGTTTTCCAGATGCTTATTGATTCTCTTACTCTTTTGTGAACCTGTCCAAATTTTCCACAGTTCTCATGTGGTTTTGCATCCTCAGGGGTTGCAGTGCAGAATAGAAAATGGCTTTTAGCCAGGTGCATTGGCTCATGCCTGTGATCCCAGCTACTCAGGAAGCTGAGGTGGGAGGATTGCGTGAGCCTAGGAGTTCGAGTTCAGCCTGGGCAACATGACAAGACCCACATCTCTAGAGGGAAAAAAGAATAGAACACGGCTTTTGACCAAGCCTTATTTTACCTGTTGGAGAATGAAGAGCTACCTGCCAGATGTGATTTGCAAGAGAAGTCTCCCTTGTCCAGTTTATTTCGGCCTTACCTGCTATAAGACTAAAAATCCCACCCCTGAAAACTCATTCCTGTACAGCACTCTGTCTCGAACCTCAGTTATTTGAAGTTATCACCTTCAAGATTTTGCCACACTTAATCTCACTTGTATATTCTACCCGGTATTTCTTATAAATTGACTTCTCATTTAAATTTGCATAAAACAGAAACCATATTTCCTCTATAAGTGGAAATTCAGCATCGTTTATCATAAACAAAGTCTTCATAAAGGGTATATATAACCTATTGAAATTAAGAAAATGTTTCCCCTGCATATGCCAAACTTATCCTGTGTACTGTCGATCATATCAA